ATGAAGATAAGCGACGTCCAGACTGTGGAAGGTGCACTGAAGATAAACGACATTTACACTGTGGAAGATGCACTGAAGATAAACGACATTTACACTGTGGAAGATGCACTGAAGATAAGCGACATCTACACTGTGGAAGGTGCACTGAAGATAAGCGACATTTACACTGTGAAAGGGGTATGAAGATAAGCGACATTTACACTGTGGAAGGTGTATGAAGATAAGCGACGTCCAGACTGTGGAAGGTGCACTGAAGATAAACGACATTTACACTGTGGAAGATGCACTGAAGATAAGCGACATCTACACTGTGGAAGGTGCACTGAAGATAAGCGACATTTACACTGTGAAAGGTGAATGAAGATAAGCGACGTCCAGACTATGGAAGGTGCACTGAAGTTAAGCGACATCTCTACTGTGGAAATGCACTGAAGATAAGCGACATCTACACCGGGGAAAGTGCACTAATTGATTTACAAGGTGTTCAAACTTTATGTATTAAATTCTGTTTTTCATTACAAGCATGACAGTAATATAAAATGTATAAAACTCTAATCGTGATATGTGACACAATTAGCCAACTTCTTATGGATTTATTGTGACACAATTTGTAGCTGGTGTCACTCAGGGACAAGGAGAGCAGGATATAACTGTTCTATCATCATGATACCACGTCCATCACCACATGAGCAGCGTGTACTCTGCTGACGACGGTGATGCATGTAATAAAGACGACTAAAGATTTATTCTGATGCTGGGCAGATTACTTGAGTCTGAGGTCTGTTTAAAAAGAATATGATAGAATGATAATCTGCCTTCGTATTTTGTTATACGAACAGCAATAACGAATATGATAACAATATGATTTATATATATATATATTAAAGAATTTAATAACAAATATGTACTTCTTTCTTTAGCTATATCAGTATTAATAAACACAAAGATATATATTCTGAATATCATATAGGCCCACAAACGTTAATAGCCACTACTTTACGAATTCTGCATATTGTTTTTATCTAAATCGGATATGAGTCGTTTCAGGATTTCATTTACACCCAACATAATGAACAATTAGCCAGATTTTTAAAGTAATTCATCATTTCAGGTTTTCATTTACACCCAACATAATGAACAATTAGCCAGATTTTTAAAGTAATTCATCATTTCAGGTTTTCATTTACACCCAACATAATGAACAATTAGCCAGGTTTTTAAAGTAATTCATCATTTCAGGCTTTCATTTACACCCAACATAATGAACAATTAGCCAGGTTTTTAAGGTAGTTCATCATTTCAGGCTTTCATTTACACCCAACATAATGAACAATTAGCCAGGTTTTTAAAGTAGTTCAAATTCACTTATTTTTAACATTGATAAACGTTTTTAAACATACCGGATTATATTTCACTAATTTCTCTTCTTATAAACGTTACGATAAAAAAAAACGCATTGACGTATATAATACAATATTCGAAATTCAACTTGAAAAATTGCAGCTTGATTATGTTTGTGCACTATTGAATTTTACAGAGGACATTTTGTTGGTGTTCTTTTTACGCAGATTAAATACTTATTAAATAAAGAACTCAAACCACGTGTGTAGTTTGATACTTCATGCCAAGACTAAAACGAAGTTTTTACCACTTTCACGAAAACGCTAGCTTAGTTATTTAGTTCATGACGAAAGTAAATCATGGAAATAATTGTAATTTTTTAAATTAAACTAAACAAAGATCTAAACTACATGTAAAACACACATTCAGATCAGGTCAGAAAAATTTTATAACCAGTTGGTTCCCTTTCGCCAATTATGTATGGCAAGCTTAAACTTTATTGATAATCAGATTATCCAAAAAAATGGTACTTCTGACTTTTATTAAGATTTCTGATAACGATATGGATTATAATAAAAATAAGTACAAAATTAATTTATAATCTAATGAAGACAATCATATACTGAGTAAAAATGCCTAATGATATAAACTGATATATCAGTAATATGAAATCTATAATAATCATAATACACCGAATCGTTAATTGAGGTAACCTCGTTACTCTCAACAATACCTTACAAAGTTCGGCTATTTGATGTTTCTGTTTTTTTATTCTGTATACAAACTAATAATTTAAAATAACCTTCATAATAATAAATTAGTTGAGAAACACATGCATTTCAAACGTAATATTTCACTTTTAAGTTACGTTTCTTCAAGAATACCAAGTAATCGTAGAAGGAGCTTAATGGATTGCAGCTGAGGCCTCAATATAGAAGCTGAAACGACGTGAGATTTTAATACACGTGTACTTGCAGTCGCCACAGTATAGAAGCTAAAACGTTGCCAACTTTTCATCCATAGGCAGTTACAATCGCTTCAGCATATAAACTGAAACGTCATCCACTTTTAATCCACAAATAGTTGAAGTCCATTAAAGTTGTCAAACCTACTTTATCTACTCCGTCTAAAGTTCCACTGAAACAAAATACAAAACAATCATATTTTACTTTTTTTTTAAAGTTTCACACTCTCTACAAATTTGAAGTTTCATAATGATGTGTAAATAACAAGTTTAAAATTTCCATGAATTTCCATTACCAGAACTGCCTGTACCGAATTTGTATTTTCTTATTCCTACATTGAAAGCTTCTATATTTTGTTTGGTTGTTTATGAATTTCGCGCAAAGATACACAAAGCTATCTCGCTAGCCGTCCCTAATTTAGCAGTGTAAGACTAGAGGGAAGGCAGCTAGCTAGTCATCTCTTGGGCTACCCTTTTACCAACGTCATTGACCGTCACATTATAACACCCCCACGGCTGAAAGAGGGGGCATGTTTGGTGACGGGGGTCCGAATGCGAGACACGCCGATTGTGACAGGGATTCGAACCCGCGACCCTCAGATTGCGAGTCGAGTGCCTTAACCACCTGGCCATGCCGGGTCATTCTATATTTTATTGACTCAGCTATTGTAAAACGTAGATAAAAATGTCCACTCCTAAAATACTGCAGTTTGTTGTTCATAAGAAATCTGGTTTTTCCATATACCGGATAACACCTTACATATACGGGATAACACCTTACATATACCGGATAACACCTTACATATACGGGATAACACCTTCAATACGTTGAGAAGCTAATTATCATATAAGGAAATTCCCCCTGGTGGTACAGCGGTAAGTCTACCAACTTATAACGCTAAAATCCGGTGTTAGTTTCTACGTGATAGACACAGCAGATAGGCCAATGTGGTTTTGCCGTCAAGCAAACATATAAACGAAATATAAGGCCAACATATATAAGAACCCAATTTAAAACGTGTTCGTTTCATTATAAAACGAAATTCATTTTAAAGAGTGGGTCGTTTGAGAAAACGGCTATTTGTTGTTTATTAATTCACGTGCATTTATTAGCCAAAGAAATACCTAGGAACTACAACTAAGTAGTTATCCATTCCTATAAAGAACAAAACATATGACGCTAAAGCTACTAAGTGCATCAAGTATTCCTACACACGAACTAACAGTAAGATGCTAATGGAGACGAAGATGAGCAGCAATGAATATTTAGTAACTGCAACTTTAAACCCGGCTTTGTACTAACATATTTCAGCTTTTCCGTCTCTCCTCCTGTTTCTTATCAATTAGTATGGCTTTTTAATGAGATTTTTACCACAAGTTAAGCAGTGACAAATAACTAGAGAAAGACAAACCAGCTAACATGCTGCTTTATTTAGAAAGACTGGGGTTACGTCAGTCGGAAAGGAAATTATATGACTTGGTTGGATGAGTCCAGCTAGATAAATCATCTTAGTCACAAGCTATATTGTATATTAGGGAATTTCATGAGTCGTTTACTTGTAAAATAGATGTTTGTTTCGTTGTATGTGTTCACATAAAAAGGACAAAATTGCTATCCTTTAGAAAGTTTAAAGATAACAGTTTATCTTTTGTTTCTTTGTTTACTAAAAACAAAACTCGTGCTTGACATAACAAGCCCAAAAATGTTCTTTGTTTCTAGCTGGACCAGACTGCCTTGGGAATGCCAGATCGAAGCTACTTGATTAAAGGCTTAAGTGACCCAGGAGTTGCCGCCTACTACAAGTTGATGATTAATAGCGCTGTTCTGTTGGGAGCAAGTCAAGAAGATGCTGAAGAACAGATGCTAAAAGCACTGAATTTTGAAATCACTTTAGCGAATGTAAGTAGGCTGTGTATGTTTAATTTACATTTAATTTTGTTAGAAAATAAAAAATAACATACGTTCAATACTTTCAACTGTGAGGGATTGAAAATGAACTTCTTGATTAAGAATGAAGATGTTCAACCAATCGAAATGTAAAACAAAAAAGCCAACTACTGAATTGTGAAACAAAATAGTGAAAAATAATATTTATTGTACTACAATAAGTGAATCTCTCTTTAGTTACATACGAGAAATGCGTGGTCTTTATTCCACAATTATTCATTTCGACGTATGTGTAATATTAAATTATGAAATAATAGTGTCAATCATTTTGCTCTGTACTCTGTATTTATGGATAGTCCGATGAAAATTAAACTCATCTTTGTAAATAAGTAGCTTAATATTTGATGATTTGTGTTGTTTTACTAATGTATTAAACTAATTAATACAAAATACACACGGAATGTTGAGTACGTTATATTATAACGATTTGGGAGCTTTACCTCTTCGTTACAGTTCATGTCGTCCATCTTGACAATACCCCTGAAACGTAGTTTACATTGTAAATGGTCAGCAGTAATAATGCTTTCATCTCCATGGTACACCATTACTTTCTTAATTGTTTCCATAAGCCACCTTGTGTAGGAGGACAATGGTTTCAACAGTTCGACGAAGGAAACACATGAATGAGGTTTGAAGGTTTGTTTGTTTTTAATTAAGCACAAAGCTACACAATGGGATTCTATGTGCTCTGCACTCCACGGGTATCGAAACCCTGGTTCTAGCGTTGTAAATCTGCAGACATACCACTGTGCCACTGGGGGGGGGGATTTTAAGGAACATTTGTTCAAACATGATAAGTGTATTTGGATGTGGTACACTTTTGTACCATAAATAGTGATGCAATAACTATTTGCTGTTTGGATTGGTTCTTATTTCATTCTTTGGCCGCCAACTCTTTGAACTTCGAGCTTCAGTATACATGTGGTGCTTTAGATGAATATACTAAATTTAAACATTACTGGCGAACCTCTGAATGGAACTGATTGCATGGATGATAATTAGAATATTGTTCTGAAATGCAGATTTACAACTTGTCTGAGATAAAGATAATGACCAGCAGTTAGTTTGGCCTTCCTTTTATTTTAAATAGTAGTGGAATTATGTGATGATTGAACGGATCAGATCACTTGAAATCCACTTGGTACTTGAGTTGGCACTATGTCCTGAACGGGTTTGGCATCTCTTGTGTTTAGAGTTGTAGAAGAATTATGTGGGGATTCAACGGATCAGATCAATCGAAATCCACTTGGTACTTGAGTTGGCACTATGTTCTGAACGGGTTTGGAATCTCTTGTGTTTAGAGTTGTAGAAGAATTATGTGGTGATTTAACGGATCAGATCACTTGAAATCCACTTGGTACTTGAGTTGGCACTATGTTCTGAACGGGTTTGGAATATCTCGTGTGTAGAGTTGTAGAAGAATTGTGTGGTGATTCAACGGATCAGATCACTTGAAATCCATTTGGTACTTGAGTTGGCACTATGTCTTGAACGGGTTTGGCATATCTTGTGTTTAGAGTTGTAGAAGAATTAGGTGGTGATTCAACGGATCAGATCACTTGAAATCCACTTGACAGTTTAGTTGGCACTATGTCCTGAACGGGTTTGGAATCTATTGTGTTCTGAGTTGTAGTGGAATTATGTGGTGATTCAACGGATCACCATAGGTCCACTTGGTAGAACAGTTTGGTGATAGAATTATGCTTGTTTTGAAAACCAGTACTTAGTGATCCTTATTGTTTGAGCTGGTGGTTATCTATGTACATATGTATCAGTTTATATTGAATCGCATATGATGTGTGAATTTGTTTATATATATATATACATACGCACATAGAATACGGTGATCATTCAATAATGTCTGGCCAATATTGATGGGGTGTTAAGATTTCTGCTGTTTATTTTTGGGGTGTTAAGATTTCTGAAGGTAGAATTGATGTTTATTTCTTCACAATAAGGCAAAGCTGCTGTTGTAACTAAGATCAAATAACAGGGGAAAACGCGACGGGATTCAGTATTTTCCTTGATGTTGATGAAGGATGGGATAGCTGTATACATTAATAAGTAACTGTACCTGGTATAGTGAAAAATCACTTACACCAAGACTTGTACTACATTAACTTACTTGTTAACTCAGTTACAATCTGATAGTACCAGACCAATGTATGTCAATAGTCAAGGATGGGATAGCTGTATACATTAATAAGTAACTGTACCTGGTATAGTGAAAAATCACTTACACCACGACTTGTGCCGCATTAACTTACTTGTTAACTCAGTTACAATCTGATAGTACCAGACCAATGTATGTCAATAGTCAAGGATGGGATAGCTGTATACATTAATAAGTAACTGTACCTGGTATAGTG